ACCGGAGAGCGAGGAAGTGCGTTTATGGCGCAAGACTGCAAGAAGTAGCGAAGATTGTTTTATGCTCGAGAGAGCTATCGCTAGTGGTGCGTTCAATTAACAGAGAGAAGAATGAGTGACATCACATACGCCATCGGGACTATTGAACATGGTGGCGAACTAGAGGCAAAGGAAGTGTCTCGTGGGAGCATGGATTCCCTCAGGGATGACCTTCTTACGAAGTCGCCAGAGAAAGAAGGAAGAAGAGGCACAATGGCTCCAGAGATTGGAGGAAGCGGTGCGTGAAGCACTGAGGCGGGGGAAAAAAACCTTGAAGCGAGAATGCGGGAGAAATCGGAAGGCAAGTGCAAATAGCGGTGAGTGCAAGTAAGCGAGCATCGAGCGAAAATCAACATTAGCCAATCTGTTCGGTTGAAAAGCATTGCGCTTCCACGGAGATACCAAATCAAGGGGACACAGGATTGCGCTTCCTGTGGATGACGTAACTAAACCTTGTACAACGTGTGAGCTACACATTCGAAGGAGAATTCTACAATCAAGGTGGCTATCGGTCTTGTTAATCCTATCGACCGAACCAAGACACCAAGGATTCATGGGAATATAATCCAAGAAGGATATGCTACCATCTCGGTAGATAAAGCTGAAAAAGTTTTAGTGATTTGCCTCTTAACATTCACGGAGGTGATGGCGAAGACTCTTGGAGAAGCGGAGAAGACATTCATTCTATGGCATAAGCGCTACATCATCATTCCAGGGATGTCGGCTCCACCTCCTCTCTGAACTACCTCACCATAGGTATGCGTGCGGATGAAAACACTACATCATTAATTTGTATTGGCTTAAATAATTAACAATCACTCATAATAATATGTCATTCCTTTTTTTGTAGCAGATCCTCCCCAACCTAAATCCAATTGTTCAATCGCCAGATCATCATAGTGCTCGATGCGATGACATTATGTTGGAAGACGAGGCTGCATCTACACCATCTCCAAGGAGGTCTCCAACGCCATGGCCGCCACCTCCAAGGAGGTCTCCAACACCACTGCCAACACCTCCAAGGAGGTCTCCAATGCCTCCCCGCCCCGCCTACCAAGAAGCCTAGCAAGAGGCCAGCCCCTCAAACGAAGAACCAGTCCCACTTTGCAAAGAAAGCCACCGTGAAACCAAGGGCTATTCCCAAAATAATATCTGAAGAGAAGGAAGAAGGAAGGCATGATGCATATAAAAAAGACATGTCTAGATTCTATGACAAACTTAAAATGAATCAAGAAGCAAGGAGAAACCGGAGAAACCGTGCTTCTTCGTAGCTCCAAATATTCTAAGAAAAAGGTGACTTCTTACCAACAACAACAATGGGGAATCTCGTAAGCCGTCCAAATCAACGTTATCGACTATGATCGCACTCTCACCAAGTCAATTGAGGCGGCACAGGAAAAAAAGCGGGCGGGGAAAGGCATTGCCCAACTTCGGACAACAAGCGCACCAATCAATCCCCCGCTAGTTGTTGGTAATGAATATGGTTCGAATTTAGGATTAATGCATCGAGCAAACATACCTCCGGGATGTCGATTTGGATCACCTTGGTGAATTTCTTGATGAGACCGTCTCGACCTTTACCGGATGTTTGGTGATGGAAACATTGAGAGTCTTGGCGGAGGTTGATATTTGGAAGAAAAAATTTGTACTAGGCCGAATCTATACAACCCTCAAGCCTTATCTCGATCTGGGGGCGCAAATGTACACCGCTAAACAAGTGGTACATGCAGGCGTCTACCAATGGAGACTTCTAACGTTGGTGTCGAGAATTAGAGACGAACATTGGTTCCGTGGCGATGATGTTATGTATGTTGACTTTGCAGAATTTCATCAACTATGCCACCTGACCTCTCTGGACAAAGTTATCATTAGCTGCTATTGCCTATAAGTAATAATTCTTTTGATCTATTATTAAACTCATCATATGTGTGTATATGCATATAAATTATCCTAACAAGTACTATATATATGCAGATTTACAATGATGAGAGCTTTCGAAAAGGAAGGCTGCAATGAAATTGGTTTTGTTGATCCCCATATAGTATTCAAAGACCCAATTACTCCAAAGACTAATTGGAAGTCTGAGTCGAGAGTAACCTCATGAACTTCTTAGTGAACCAACATACAAGAAGGATATACTCTTTCCTATAACTTCAAGTGAGTGTTAATCATGTCGATCATATCCTTAATGGCTCATATGTTGATTCTAGTTAATTAATGAGTGTTATGCGTTATATCCTATAAACACATGCAAAGAATCACTTGGATATTGATGGACATCGATCGGTGAAAAGTCACTTGATAATCTATGACTCGATGAAAACCACAACAAGACTACCAAGATATGATAGATATTATCCAGAGGTAATTTCGGGATCTCTAGCAACTATATATACACACAAACATGATGATTAACTATATCTGATGACGTGGCAAATTTTTTATTGGGCAGTGTTTGGAAAACCTTTATTGAGAAGCAACACATGAAAAAATGCAAAGCGCCACTGAATGTAATCCCTTTGAAAGTAAGTCCCCTAAATCGCATCATCTTTATTAATTAAACATATAGCTTTCACCGGATCACCAGATTGGATGACAAATCTTTTTCTCGTAAAGTGGTGTCTAAGGCAGGAACAGGGGAACAACTACTGTGGTTACTATGTTTGCAAGTTTATCAAGGTGCTCTCCCAAAGAACTCCTACAGAGAGACTCAAAGTACGTTAAAAATACACTATATATTCATTTAATTATTATTATTGATTGTGTTACTATGTCTTTATACATATATATATGTACATATATTAATTTATTTTCCTTTAATTAAAACCTGTAGACTCGATGGTTGGAGGAAAAGGTCATACGGCAAGACCAAATCAAAGCAATTCAAGAGTCTATAGCCGGATTTTTTAATAAGCAGGTCATCGATTCCAAGGGCGAGTTCTACTTCGACCCAACACTGCCATTGAAGCCAAGCTAGAGGATGAGAGGAAACTTGTTATGTCACAACAACTGTAATGCAATCTTTTGTAATATATGCACATGAAATAATATAATGTAAAATACACATATGCATGCATGCATTTAATATATATATATATGATGCATGCATTCATATATATATATATATATATATATATTTCTATGCTTGAATTGTGTGATTTAATACGTTCATTGTGCTTGAACCGAAACATACTATATGCGCGTATAAATGTATAATTAGCAGCGTACAATACGACTTCGAAAACCTATTTTGAAAAGAAAACAAAAAAATGAAAAGAAAAGAAAAAAGAAAAAAACCTTTAGTCCCGGTTCGTATTACCAACCGGGACTAAAGGTGCCGGCCATCGTGGCATGTCAGGAGGCACCTTTAGTCCCGGTTGGTGTTACCCACCGGGACTAAAGGTCCTCCTTTAGTCCCGGTTTCTGACCCGGGACTAAAGGACCCCCCTTTAGTCCCGGATGCTTGCTCCCGGGTGGGGAATCGGGACTAAAGGGGGTTCTCCACCGGGAGTAAAGCTCGGTTCTCTACCAGTGGTACTAGACACTTTTTTTCTAGGAGGTTTTTCCATTAGTACCTCATTCCGTAACAGACGTGTACATTTGTACTACGAAACGGAGGAATAGACAGATTCTGGTCACATCACATGGTTAATATTTAATCACGTCGATCTCTACAGGCACAAAGGACAAATTTGAGCTAGGAAGAATCTCCTAACAAGCAGAGATAAGAATATCTAGCCCGTGCATCACTATCCTGCTAGGTTCCTTCGTGCATCGATCATTACACCTGCTCTTAACGCATATTCGTAACTCTTTCAGACACAAAGCATTCTAACCATGCTCTGTCTTTTGATGAGCAGGGGATGTAATGATATATACTTCCTTTATTCTTATTGTTGTTAGCCCTACCCTATATCTCCTATAATAAAGTTATATTAATCCTCACTACCATTCTATTTTAACATGCAAGCTATCCATGTGTCGCACCCCGCTGAGTTGCCCTAATTATAAGTGCCATATATTATTTTTACTAAGTTTAATTAATATTTTCAATGTAAATTATCGTGTGTGAACCCCTACTAAATGCCACATCATCTTACACTAAAGACTTTTACTATTTTCAATCTATCAATATACAAAACATATTCATGTCATAATATTTGCTTTGGCCATCATATCGTCCTATGATTTTATCTAATACTGGATTAGCTTTTGTTACTTCCTTCGTTCCAAATTATACGATGTTTTGACTTTTCTAGATACATTGTTTTTATTATGTATCGAGACATAGTGTATATCTACGTGCATAGCAAAAGCTACGTATCTAGAAAAACCAAAACATTTTATACTTTGGAATAGAGTGAGTAGATTCTTCCGTTAGCTTGTTTGGTTTTGACAGTCTACATCATGTATGCAATAACACAACACATTTATTTATTTCAAACAAAGTCCCGCTGCAGCGCGCAAGCGGGCTATTCTTGTAATATATAATTAATGTATATATCATTCAAGACCAATGTCACTAACCAAGACTACATGCTAGTCCTAGCTAGTCGCATCCAGTGGCAATAGGCGTCATCAGTTCAAATGATTGACAAAGCGCTGAGCATATGCATATATAATTATAAAGGGTTAAGCAATATAATTGTCATTTAACTTATTCAACACTGTCCAAGTTGGAGTTATAATTCTCATACGTGTATATAAACCAGCCTAGATCGAGGAGGATGTTTACAATGCCTCGCACAAAGTAAACTCATAGTTGCCGGCATTGTGCATCAACGTACAGGAGAGAGGAGGAAGGGACTCGTGGAGCGAGGTCGGCGACATTTATCTGGTGAGTTTTGGCATGCATGCAAGCAATTCCTTGTTGCCTTCTTCGATCTGTCATTCATTGAAGGATGCTTTGTTTCGATACATGCATATGTAAGCGCTTATAGGCACATACCAAACACACCACCATGAGTACTACTACTTGCTACTCTGCGCCAGCCATCCCCGGCGCCGGTGATGAAGTGGTTACTGCAGTGGCATCCGAAGCCGAAGAAGCAGCAGCATCAGATGGCCAGTCGAGGAAGAACCTGAGCCTGTACGCCAACCTATCTGCAGCTGAGATCATCGACTCCCTGCCCATGGAGACGCGGTTCCCGGTGCCCCATCGCCAGTACGGGGGCTTCTGGAAAGCCGAGTTCTTGCTCAAGGGCATGGTTGCCGCTCGCACTCGCACTCGCGCGTGTTTCGAGCCAAACCCATCTGACATCTTCGTCGCCAGCTTGCCCAAGTCCGGCACCACCTGGCTCAAGGCCCTCGCGTTCGCGACGCTCAACCGCGCCACGCACCCACCGTCCAACGCCGACGCACTAAGTCAAAAAGGGTTTTTAGGGGCGGTTGTAGACCATTTGTAGGGGTGGTTTGGCCAGCCGCCCCTAAGCAACCGTCTCTACAAATCATATATTTGTAGGGGCGGTTCCCAGACCGCCCCTACAAATCGATTTGTAGGGGCGGCTGGTGTTATCAGCCGCCCCTACAAATCGATTTGTAAGGGCGGTTGGTAACACTAGCCGCCCCTACAAAATTGATTTGTAGGGGCAGCTACAGTACCACCCGCCCCTACAAATCGATTTACAGGGGCGGTTCAATCTAGAACCGCCCCTACAGTACATTTTTCCGTAAAAAAAAATCAAATTTATAATTATATATATATATATATATATATATATTCAAATCTGACCACAACACAAGGACATTATATAATTCAAATCATAGTCTATATGCTTGTATCACCTACTGCCTATTATACAACAAAGGTCTAACATCTCAGATTGCAACTATGTATAGAACTATGCATAAAAACATTTTCTGCTCATCCAAGCAGTGAACGCATCCAGGTGACCACCACCATCCTCTTTTTCTGCTCTTTATTTACTTTCCTGCACATCTACATAAGCAAGGCAACAAGGGAAATGATTATTTTCAATACTTGCTAATTGGAAGAGTGAAAAAATACTCAAAACTGAACTGAACTGAACTGCTGCTGCTATATAGCTTCACATATATGAGCTGAAACACATGCATATATTTTTAATGGGCAAGAGCAAACAAGGATCAATACAGAGATTAACTTAAAACTTGCAAAAGTACTGCTCATATGCTAGTGACCAATTGAGATCAATACAGTACATATATGCATGCACACCGAGACATCACATGAGCTAGCTAAAAAGGCTTGTGAATGAACAAGGACAAGACCTTGCTCATTTGAGTAAATAAGCACTTAAGACAAGGCATGCAATAATTATTTAACTATTGGCAATAATTATTTAAGTATTTGTATCCAGCAATCACCCATCTGAATATTTCTATTGGCACAATAGACAGGAGCTGTCATGCAAAAGGAGAAAGAACTTTCAGTCAACTTCTAATGCTAAAGCAGTGTAGAAATGCTCCAAATCATTTTAACAGGTAATATACTAGTATTTCGTCAACAGAGAATCAGTAAATGACAGATATAGCTTAGCAAACAAATAATATTGGTAAATGGTGGTAGTAATGACCCTTGGAATTGATTGGTTTCATTTTCATACAAAAGCAATGCAAATTATTTAAACTCAAGCTTGCTGATTGCTTTACAGGTGTTAGAATCCAGTGATGCTACCACAGAATTGAGTGGCGACTGCAAAGCAAAATCGGACCCATGAAATTCCTCAAAACCATACTCAGACATCAACATATATATCTCATCCTCTAAGCAGGTACCGCATAACCAAGAGATGCTACCACAGAATATTCGAATCTCCCAACACCAGCAACTTGCGGGTTCTTGGCCGTTTGATGCAATCATCTCATATTTCACCCCAATTAAGGAAGCAGTATTTCACCCCAATTAAGGAAGCAGTATTAAGCACAAACATAAGCGCTAGATGTAGGATTACGGAAAGCATCAAGAGCATGGCAATTTCAGATTTCCTAGCGACCACGCTAAACAAGTCAATAACAACAGATTTACGAGGCGCATCCGTGTCTTCAAGTCAATTTTACATTTTACCCAACATATGGCAAAAGGCAACTGATTCAAACATAGAGAATTCCCAAATAGTTATTCCAGTAGAGACTTACCGGCACTTGATGACAGGTTTGGCCCCTCACTTGATCATAGATGCGCTTTCCATCCTTGCCATAGCCATCGACAAAGAGAGCCCAAGGAGTGTTGGCGTGCTGCATGTACCCAAGAGCTTGTCGTGCTCTTCAGTATATATTTCTTCCTTGGCTCCTATCTCTATTACTGCTGTTTTGCCATCTTCAGAGTGTTTCTCTTTCTTTGGCTCAGTTTCACAATAGCTTACTGGTTCCACGTCCTTCAACCTTAAAAACAAAAAAAAAGGTTTTAAGAAGATTACTGCTAAGATCCAATGAGATACGATTGCAGGACATCTACATCCAAAGTTTATTAAACCTATTTTATTTATAACATGTGGCAAACAAATTTGGAGCAGAAAACATAACTGACAATTTTGTACTGCCTCGTGGGAAAGGCGTTAGGAGTTAACGCCATTAGGACAAGATTACGCACATGTTATTGACATGACAGTGTCGTTATGGGAAAAAAAGAAAGGACAGACACATCCATTCAGATCCATACACACTGAAACTACAATACAAGCATGAGATGAAATAGACAGAGATACTTATACTGAAACGTGTTGAGCTAAGGTGTAAAGGGGTGGAAAGAATAGTAAAACATTCCACAAACAGGAACTGCAGGTAGATCCGTTCAGATGACGAAAAATAAACGATCATCAATATTCGCTATACTAGATTCATGAAGACACAGGGGCCTTTGAATAAAAAGAACAGATGTTTGCACATAACACGGACTTCATGCGACCCCAGCGTTCCGGAGGCAAGAACCCGCAGAGCATCCCAAGAAAGTAATAATCGGGACACGCATCCACCACCGCAAAGAAGACGATTCGGTCCGTGCACAGAGCGACCTCCAGCGGGGCGGCGGCGGCGCGCTTCACCTGCAGCGTCAACGGACCACAGCTCCACGGGCTTCAGCGCCACCGCCCACTTGCCGTGGCGGCAGACCGGCCGAGGTGTGTGCGCGAGTCGAGGATGCCGAGCCACTGCATCCGCTCCATGCGCGAGGTGAACGTAGATGCACGGGTCTGCGTTGGGGATTTGGGGATTAGGGTTTAGACGACTTGGGAGAAGACCGCCGATGGGGAGAGGATCTGCTGGGCGAGGGGTCAGCCAGGGAGGGTATAGGCCGGCTTGGACTTGACGAGGAACGGAGTGGAGGCCGGCTCGAGAACAGGACTTGGTCGGAGACGACCGAGGCCGGCCATGGCGACTTCGCAGCCTCTGCAAGCCGGGCGGCGATAGGAGATGACCCAATCTACAACCATGAGGGCGCCTGAGCGAGGCGCGGATCCTTCTTTGGATCTGTCCTGTGGGGGAGATGAGGAAGACGAGAGGGAAGGGGACGGGAGGCGGCTGCTGAGAGGAGTGGCTGAGGGGTGTCTGAGAGAGGCGTCGGTGTGGGATTAGGGTTTGGGTGTTATTTTATAGATCGGAGGATTTGTAGGGGCGGCTAGTGATTGAGCCGCCCCTACAAATAGTAATACCGGGGGCGGCTGGTGAGTAAGCCGCCCCTACAAATCAGACTTATTTGTAGGGGCGGCTCGTATCACCAGCCGCCCCTACTGTTTTATTTGTAGGGGCGGCTGGTCTCTGGGCTCCCGAGCATGTCACTGTAGGGGCGGCTCCATCACTAACCGCCCCTACAAAAAAATTGTTTCGTTGCTACAAATCGTTTTTTACATAGTGACGGTCAGCACCCGCTCAGCCACCGCAACCCCCACGACTGTGTCAGCTTCCTGGGGGCCTGTTCGGTTATCAAGTATTAGACACTGGGAACAATTCCAACCTGGAATATTGTGCTAATTTGTACTATCTTTGATCACAGGGAATGATTCCGGGAGGAAATAGGGCTAAACGAACAAGGCCTGGAGCTCATTTTGATCCAGGGCGTCGATGCCGACGCTAGCGCCGGGGAGCAAGCAGAGACGAAAGAGGTTCTCCAGATCCACGGCTGATCGCGACGTACTTTCCCTGCTCATGGCTTCCCCCAAGATCACAAGAATTGCGCAAGAACACGATGAACACAGTGAGTACACACACGGCAACTGTCAGAGGACAGTGCTATTTTGCATAGATGTAAAGTGGAAGTACAGGCACGGTTACAATGTTCCAGAGGCGCTAACACACTTGTGTTAATGAAAAACTGCTAAAAATAAGATACAAGATGGCTTCAGTAAACTGCTGCTGAGCACGCTCGACGTGGGTGCGGTCACCATGGCTCCAACCGTTCCTGCCACTGTCGCCATCATTCAAATTCAAACCTGCTGCTCCCTCTTATCCAGCTAGCCTGCAGCTTCAGTTCAGTGAGCAACAGGCTTACACCAACAATCTCCCCCTTAAGCCTGATGCTCATCAAATTCTCGAACCCCCGGCAAGTGCCTCATGACTCCAAGCTTCATTGCTGGCAAAGCTTTTGTCAATGAGTCTGCCTTCTGCTCTATGGTGCAAACTCTCTTCACCAAGATTTGCCCACGCTCAACACACTCTCTGATAAAGTGGTATTTGATATCTATGTGCTTACTGCGACCATGAAACACTGGGTTTTTTCATCAGAGCAATAGCTGAGTTGTTGTCAAAATACAGTGTCACTGTCTATGGCTGTGTAGCAGTCAATTCACTCAACAGAGTCCTAAGCCATAATGCTTGTTTTTTTGTTGCTGTTGCTGCCATAAATTCTGCTTCACATGATGACAGTGCTACTGTCTTCTCCTTGTGAGAGCACCAAGTCATAAAAAGCCATCATATCCCACCAGTGCTGCTTCTCCCCACAAGCCCAGGTCCAACATCACTATCAGTGTAGCCTACTAACAGTTCTGTACTTCTCCCTTGGGTATAAACAAACCCAAAGTTCACTGTTCCTTCCAGGTATCTCATTATCTGCTTGACAACCTTCATGTGTTTGACCGTTGGCTTCTCCATGAACCTGCTTGCCATGCCAACTGAGAATGAGAGATCAGGTCTTGTGTGCAACAAGTACCTGAGGCAACCAATTACTCTTCTGTATTCTGTTGCATCAATGAACACGATGAACACAGGGAGTACACACACGACAACTGTCAGAGAACAGTGCTATTTTGCAACTACGCCAGATTCTCACACTAGGAACGGGGGCATTTTTACTATAGGGGCGGCTGGGGTTGGAGGCGCCCCTACAGTGGGCGTCCTCGGGCCCTAGCAGCCCCTACAGATGGCACTGTAGGGGCAGCTGGTAACCTGAGCCGCCCCTACAGTTGGGGCTGATATGTAGGGGCTGCTCAATCACCAGCCGCCCCTGTAGTGCCCATTTGTAGGGGCGGCTGCCACCAGCCGCCCCTGCTGTTCGACTATAGGGGCAGCTGAATCACCAGCCGCCCCTACTGATGGTGCACGAATAAATAGCAGCCACCCCCTTCTTTCACCTCAGGACACACTCTTCTACACAAAAAAAGGTTGGGAGGCCTTAGGCTCCTCCTAAAAATTGCTCTACTAAGGAGGGAGGTTTTGATCTCAAATCCTTTGGTGGAGAGGCTCTAAAAGGTAAGGAAATGCTTCTCCAACTCTTTATTTGAAGTTTAATTCGTTGGTTAGCGAGTAATTTGATTTTTGGTTCTCTCTCTTCCATGGAGCTTGAGCTAGTTATGAGTGAAATTGGACCCTAATTTTCACTATACTAGAGTAAATTAGGTAGGGGAATAAGATTGCACCCTTTGTTAGTACATCTTTGTTGATTTTAGTGTAGTATTAGTGAAGTTTGGTGCATGTGTCATGAAACCCTATATCTAGATCTAGATCTAGGATTTTGTTTTTTTTTCTTTTTCAATTTTTTCTTTATGTGACTAGGGTTTGCATGTAGGTGAATGTGTAAGATTTTAATTGTTGCTAATGTGTAAAATATCCTCTACCATGGCTACTAATTATCATTTAATATTTATTTTGATTCCTTTATATAATGTGTGTTTTTAATTAGTTATGGATAAATAGGCCATTAATTAATTATCCTCTACCATGAAATTGGAATGGAGTTTATATGAAAGGTAGTGGATGAAATATTAAATGTTGCTAATTGTTTTCTTTGAAATTGTTTATTTGAACCAATTAATTTATATTTTAAAATATTTATGCATTAATAGTCAATTAATTAACTATCATCTACTACCATGGTGCGTGTCTCAGGTATATACAATTATTCTTGAGTAATATTCTTTCTTTGGTTGTTTTGTTTCTATAAGATGGACTACAGGAACTCTTGGATGTATGGTTTGTTAAGACACGACGCTCTTTTCCGTGATGAGGTGGACAAATTCATCAAAGCTGCAGAGAAGCATGCAGCGACGTTGAAAGAGAATAGTGACACGATTATTTGTCCCTACAAAGATTGCAAGAACCTTATTGCATTTCGAGATGTGAGTACCATCAAAGAACATCTGATTAGGAGAGGATTTGTTCCGGACTACACAGTGTGGATTCTGTCGATGCGGGACCCACGGGATACCCCGCAAGGAAGAGAGAAGATCTAGTCTAACTAGGTCTTCTTTTCCTGTAATCTTAGTAGTAGTATTATTCTGTAATCCTACTA